CTGAAGCCAATTGCAGCACAAAAGGTGCAGTTACAGCTAAGCCATTCACAAAACCATTCCCTTCCCCCCTCTTCATCTCTCCCCTCCAACACACATTTAATTTTTAGGATGGTGCAGCTGGAAGCAAGAGAGAAAGAGAGGAAATGAGATGAGAAATACTGAAGGAGAAAATGTGCAGCTCCCCTTTACCCTCTAACAAAATCCGATCCCCAATTTAATGAATGCGTTTTCATGTCTGGTCCTGTCTGCCAATCCTTCCAGACGGCACCAAGGTGCTTCAAGACAAGGCAGCAGGTCCTTGTAGAGCATCAAGGGCTCAGTCTGAGCCTGGAGGGTCTTGTTGTGGCCGATTCCACCTAATCCTGTTGATTAATTTAACTCCAGGGCTAAGAGGCCCCCAGAAGCAGTGAATGGAGGTGGAGAGGAGAAAGGCGAAGGGGGAGGAAGGGAAATAGAGGAGTGAAGGGAATGGGGAGAGGGAGGACACATCCAGTCCATAATTACAGAGGGTTTTTCTTGTTCCTTCCTCAAGGTCCAGTCCACTTCCATTCCTTTCAAACCCCTCCAGAGAGCTCTTCCCAGCTCTTGCTAATTGTACCCCAACCTGAAATGGCAGCATTATTCAGGAATGTGAGTGTGGGGGCCATAATTTACACGTTTCCTCATGCTAGAATGGGTCCCAGAACAAGCCCAGGCTTATATTTGTCACCTTTCCTATGCCATCCTGCACACACTCCTGTGCGCACGCTCTGGCTGTGCTCATTTCTGCGGGGAGAAAGAACCATTTTGGTTTATTCAGTTTTCCCAGCTCAACCTCCTTAAAAATGTGGGACTTGATAGTGGTCCACAGAAACCTTCAGCAAGTCCCTTCACAGGGTCATGTCCCCCCTTTGCATGAGCTGTGTGGTATCTCTGCTCCAAGAAGGTGCCTGAATAACCCCCTCTGAGCAGAGGGAAGAGCTCATGAGTTTTCACACTGGCAAACTTGCTTTCATCCCCATAATGAAGCCTTTGTCTATTTCTAAGAGTACTGCAAAGCAGAGATTTGAGCAGTTTGCCTTTTTTCTTTCTGATCTACAGAGCAGTTATGCTAAATAATAAAGATGGAATCGCTCTTAAAAAAAAAAAAATAGTGGGATCAGTGTGTGTGTCCTGTAACGTGCACACTTTTCTCTTAATTTTTCCTTTTCTCTGACTTGTCCTCCCATGAGATTTTTCCCTCCATTCTGTTCTTTTCTGTCAATCTTTAGCCAGTATGATATCCTAGGGGAGCTGCGTATCGGACAGCTAGCTGTTTCCCATCCTTCATCACAACTAATGATTGGTAAGCCACACAAGAAGCTGCTGCGAGATATTTCTCCACCTTCGTATTTACAGGGTGTTCATTGCTGTCCGTGCTGAGTAAGTGTAAAATGCTACCAGTGCATGCTAATGATTATTTCTACAGCAATAGACCCGTTGTGCTGGAGGCTGCAAACCAGGATTCACCCCCTGCTCATGCTGCTGGCAGGGCTACACATCCATTTTTCACAGAGGGATGTGGAGCAAAAAAATGAAGCATTCAAGGTTTGGATGACTCCCCCTGGACTTGCCTAGAGAGGGACTCTCCTTGAGTTACTCCTGCAGCTTGGTAAAGCTTCTAATTGCACAGAAACTTTGTGGAGATTACAGCAGTTGTTTGTCCAGCAGATTTCAGCTGTTTAACAGGAAAAGACCTGTTAGATCCTTGAGTTGCATCTTAGGCAGGTAAGGGAGACTGTCCCCTGGTCATAGGGGATGCATTAGATAATAGGCTTGTACTGCAGCCTGTCTCAGCTGAAAGACTTTCTATATTATTTAATGAACCTGTGTCTGACAGCAGCAGCTGCATCGTACCAAGACCAGCTGGTTCCAGACATACCCTGGGATTTTTCTTGCTCTCTTGGTTTCATCTTTGTAGTCGGGTTGTTGGAGCCTTGGACTTGGCACGAGGAGCTGTGGCTTCTTTTCCCAGCTTTGCTCCTGACTCACAGGGTGACCGTAGGTGGGTGACTTCTGTCATCCCTGCCACGGTTGTAAAATGGAGATAATGCCAGTCGGGAGCTGTTTTGGAGACTTGCAGTGAGAAAGTGTTACATCAGTTTATGTGGCAAGGTTTGGCTCTCCACCCTTTTAACCCTGTAGCCAGCGTGATGGCCAGCACAGTCACCAGGCTGCCCTGAATACAACAGATTGTTACTCATGACAGTCAGTTTTCCTCTCCCAAAACTTTGTGGCCAAACCAGGGATCCTTAATTAAGAGCATAAAGTAGTTAAGAAAATCTGGCTGTTTTCCCTTCTAGGCTTTTGCAGAAAAAAAAAAAAAAAAAAAAAAAAAAAAAATTTTCTAGACATTTTTTTCCTCACTTGGGGAGATGCTGGATCTCAGGTTTGTTGTATACTATGCAAGCATTTGGACCAAGCAAGTGGGCAAGCTGTAGGCAGATGTTACAAGACGGCTATCAAGTAGCCAAGAGATTTAGATCTTAAAGATGTCATTTTTGACATTGCTGTCACCATTCTTGCCAGGCAGGTTGGGTCTTTGTTGCACCAGGCATGAAACATGCCACAAATGACAATTCCTGGCTTAAAAGAGCTCACAGGCTGAAAGTCGTTCCTAAGCATGCATACTAACTATACAGAAATGTGTATTTACTAGAAAGAAATATGGTCGGCTGCAGAGTTAAATGACATTTAACTTAGTATATTTTCCTTCCCCTTTCTCATACTGGCTCTCTCACATCCTGGACCAAAACGCACGTCCGTTCTTATTTTACTTCATATCAAGTATTTCCAGAAAAGATACAAATTAAACCAAAAATAGTCAGTGACTTAAGTGAATAACTTAAAGAAATTTACTGTATGCTATAGGTTTCCAGATGTGCTTTTGCACAGCATGGTATTCCGAGGTCCAGATGTGCTTCTACCTGCCCCGAATCATCTGGGACCCAGATGTAGAGGGATGTTATTTTCAAGTACAGATGTTCCTTTTACACCGCTTGAGACTTTAAACCTTCCCTGAAAATGGACATAACCAAAAAGCTAGTTTAGTAACAAATTTCTGCTATGTATGGTGAAACTGTCTTTAAAATTACTTCAGTGAGAAAAAAAAAAAAAAAGTTCTTGATTTAAAAAGATGAACACATGTAAAGACCCTGTGTGTTAGTAAACTAGAACTAGAAGAAGGGAAAACCTCTTAAGGTGATGTGTTCGACTCCAAAACAACCCACCACCTTCTCTGCAGCAGTTTCCCTGTCTCCAGCACAACTGTGGTTAGCTGAGTTCTGACACTGCAGCCTCCCTGTGAAGCCCCAAGACATAAAAGCATTTTTGCGTTGCAGCAAGCTGAATGCAATGGTATTTTGTGGTGATCTCAGTATAAACAAGTGAGCTCCGATGGGATATTTGTCTCATACTCCTCAAACTGCCACCACTCTCGAGCAGCTGTTGGGGAAGTCACAGCTGCAGTTCCCAGCTCTGGAGAGAAAAAAGGCAAATTTTTGGATAATGATAGTATAGGAGCTGAACAAAAAGGGAGGACTGAAAAACACCGTTAGTAACTTTAGGGAACTTTATCGTCAAGATAAGCATATGTAAGTCCTGCTTAAATCCTAAACTGGCAAAGGTTTTCTCAAAAGAAAAAACATTTCTCCGTGAGCACAGTGTTTAAGCAGATTCTGGCCCGGAGTCTGTCTGTGCAGTTATTCAGAAAGACAGCAGCCAAGCTTGGTAGAGAAAAAAAAAACGAGTGCACATTTAATGAGTGTTCTAGTTTCATGACAGAGAAGTAAAAGGTGCAGCAGAGGCCAGATCTCTCACCTAGCTGAAAAATATATCATATTCTTCCTTCTCTGCTGCCGTGAACCAGTGGCACATTTTTCACTGTCCCAAAGGCAGACATAACGTTTTGGCCTGGCTGAGATCCTCAATACATCAACATCTACACCACGGGGAACTGATAACCTGCATATTGTACGTCTTTGAAACCCAAGCTTTGCTCCTCAAGAGGCCTCTGGTGAACACTGGGGTCACCGCTAACTCTGTTCTTGGTGCAGCTTCTCTAAAATCTGCTGAGTCTGACTGTAGACTTGGTGAATATCAATGCAATGCCTTCTGCTTTATCTCCACATGGGGAAAAAAAAGAGCAAAACTGGGCTTACTTATTTCAGTTATACTTATTTGCGTTTAACAAGGGCCTCAGGAGGCAATAGATGTGGTGCCGGGGTCAAGACAGGGAGAAGGGAAGGGCAGAGATCTGAGGCAAGCGAAGGTGGAGGAAGGAGGTGACTCGTTAGACATTGGTGAAGGACTTTAATGGCATCTTAATGCTGTGGGAGTCTGGCCTTGCGCAGAGCTCCTGCTGAAATTTGGAAAGTAAGAGAAGAGGGACTGTATCCTGTGGGCAGCCCAGCCCAGAGGTTAGTTGGAGTTGGAAATATCTTTCCCAGCTGTAGAAATTCCTAATATTTCTTCTTTTTGTTCCAGAGGTGGTTTAAAAAAAATTGAAATCTCAAACACTGATACTTGGCAAAACACAAGAGGAAATCAGGCTGCACAAATCAAAGCATCGTGCACTGAATTTTTTAATGCGCTCATTTGAGCTTCAGTGTAAAATGTGCAACTCTGAAACAGTCATTTAAAAAAAACATAGGAATTTCTTAAAATAACCCAAGTCTACCACTGGAAGTTCTTTCGGTATAACAGTTTCAGCAGTGGACTTTGAACCATCCCTTTCCTGCAAACAGTTCTGATTTTGATAGGTGGGAGTTTTACAAAGTGGGGGAAAAAAAGTACCAGGAAACTACAGAAATAGTAGAAAACTGGTGGATGTATTTATTATACATGGACGGAATATTTGTTTTGATGGACACCATCACGGTAGATCTGAGATTACTTTGCTGGGCTGCTTAACTCTTCCAACAGCCGTTGTCCCGTGGCTTTTCACCACGCGAGCCTCAGCTCCCATTTCTCTCCCGCCGCAGGTAACAGGCTGGACGAAGGCTCCGACGTCGAGTCCGAACCAGACCTGCCTCTGAAGCGCAAGCAACGCCGCAGCCGAACCACTTTCACCGCTGAGCAGCTGGAGGAGCTGGAGAAGGCCTTTGAGAGAACCCACTACCCAGACATCTACACACGGGAGGAGCTAGCTCAGAGAACCAAGCTCACCGAGGCCCGAGTTCAGGTAAGGACTGGAGCCAGTGCGTGGCAAGTCAGCCGGGGGGCACAGCTTCTTGTTTGTCTTGGGGAAGGGGATGGTAGTGCCAAGGATGAGGGTGTTGAAAGGTGGTAACGTGGATGCGCTTCTCCGGAGCCACATCCACAAAGATCTGAGACTTCATCCAGTTGTGCAGATTCCCACGTTTGCAGATACGCCCCTTGGATTTGGCCCGTTGCAGAGGTACCAGCTGGAGGGTTTCCATCCAGGTTGGGACCAGGAGCCAAACTTGCCCTGACTTGGCAAGGCACTTAGCTCTCTGTTTTCAGTGGAGGAAATTCCTCCATTTGCCGAGAAGGAAGCAGTGTGTGTGTATGTTTGTATTTGGTGTTTTAGAAGAAATCACACCATTTACCAACCTTGCCCAGGGGACCGGATCATATTTTGCGAAGTTTGCAAGTTCTGTGTGTGAATTTTCAGAAAACTTTTTTTTCCCCCCGATCTCCAGAGAACACAAAAAGGGCGGGGGGAGGGAAGAAGAGGGGAGGAGCAGGAAGGGAGGGTTTGGAGCCGGGGGTCTCTGACATCTACACGATTAATAGCCCTAGTGGGAACTCCACACAGAGACCCTTATGTCTTCCAGATAAAGGCTGGGTCAGCAGTGTGTGCAAACACGCAGAGGGATAAGGAGTGTGAACAGATCGGGGGGTATAATAGAGTCCCTTGGGGAACGGGAAGGAAAGGGGGAGGGATCGGGGATTGTGCTGGGTTAGAGAAGTGAAATGGAGACCCCAGCAGTCCGTCCTCGTGTGGGCAGCGCGATTAGGTTTCACGCTAAGCACAGGGGTCTGTGCACGCAGCGGAGAGCTGGATTGCGGGCACCGAGGGAGGAGGGAAAGAGTACTCCAGGCTTGTGAAAAGGAAACACTCAGTCAATTAACCAGCTCCTCCGAAACAAAACAGGCTGCTTTTTTTTTTTTTTGCTTTTTTTTTTTTTTTTTTTTTTTTGTTCTGCGGTTCTCAGGATAATGAGCTTGATGTGCTCACTCAGAAGTCAAAACCACCAAAAGTTTTTGCTGTTTTCTCCCAGCTGTCTGGGAACGGATATTTCCCCCCGCACCTGGGACATTCGCTGGTGAAGGGTTTTTCCCATTAGCCGCCTTTCCCAAAGAAGTGCTAAGCCAGTCACAGCACTGCAGCAGATGCCCTCTCGCCTCCCTCCAGCTTCCTCTTGAGAGGTACTGGATTTTCCTGAATCCATCAACACTCAGGGTTTGGCTATGAAGACTGCAAAAAGGATCTAGAAAACTTTAAACCGATTCTAGTTTTCATCTCAGCCAAAAGACCATGCCAGAGTGTTCAACAGTAACAGTGTTAATTTGCTTCATAGATGGAGCTTGGGAAAGTGGCTAATTTAGGCGACCAAGCTACCAAAGCTGGAACATATGAATTCTATTTCTATTTTGCAGATTCTGTTCCTTAAGCTCTTATTTGTGTGGATGAACATAAGATATTACGGGGGGAATAAAACCAGATGTTTCTGCAGGAAGCAAACTAACAAAAGGAGTTTCGAGGGAGACCAGAGTTTAGGTAGCATCTTTTTATGGGGTGAGAGAAACCTGTGTTACATGAGGGCATGCTGGGGAGGGAGGGAAAAGCCCTGAAGTGCCAGGCAGTGAAAAACCACAGGCAGGTTCTCTCTTTTCCAAGGCTCTCTGACCTCACTGTGACAAGGCTGGGAGAAAGGAGGGAGGCGAAAGCAGAGAAAGGGAAAGCTAAATAAATAAATAAATGGAACCTTTCCCTTGTCTCAAGCTGTGATCTCCGAATCCCTCTACTTGCTCCCAGGCAGCTTGTGTGGAGGTTGCTGCCAGGGCTCTAGTAGCAGCTGTTCTCTGAGGCACATTCCTGATGGCTTTCTCATTCCGACATCCTGGCAGAGTCAGCTTCTTCCCACCACTTTTAAGCCTGCCGCCCCTTGTAAAATTTTCTGGATATCAGAGTAGATCTTTTACTGGCTCTCAGGATCTACAAACATTAGTCAATCAAGTTCTTGTGGAGAAAAAAAAAAAAATAAAAGCCACACACACATCCACACATGTACCCATCCAGCAGGGAATCTTCTACCACCTTAGTGTCTTACTCTTGTCTCAACAGAAGTTTTAAGGCCAAGAGATGTGCTTTGGATTAAAGATAGCTGTAATAATGCTAAGGCCAGCTGAGATCAGGGTTTCTGGGCGTTAAGGACCATGCCAACATCTACCTACCTATCTTGTCCGCAGAAGCTTATCATGTTAACATATAAAATGGGAGGCAGATGTATGAAAAGTATGTTGTGCTCCATAGTCACAAAAGAGACTTGAGAGCAGCCTTCACTGCTCCTCGGTGTCTGGTCATTGCTTCATCCTTCTTCTGGATCTCAGTGCCACTTGTGTGCTGCGCAGCCACGGCTGGACAATCCCCAGCTCACGGCCAAGTCTCTGAATCACAGCTCAGGTGTTGCTGTGCCGTGTATATACAACATCCCTGCGCTAGGATCCCATTTTGATAATCACTCCACCAGCACTGAACAAAAATAAGCGAGACTGTCTATCTCTTTGCTTCTGCCTCCTCCTCACCTCTCTTTGCTTCGCCATGTGAAAGGTGAACTTACCCAAGTCTCATTCATTCTCTCTGATACCTGAGTATTCACGTACCATAATCTCTTCCACGTGAAAAGCTGATAGCTCTGTTAAACTTTATTGGCAGGCCTGAGCCTCGCTGATCACGCAGCTGTCCAGCTAAGTGGAAGTTTGACACGTTGACAGCTAATAAAATTCACAAACTGAACAACAAGAGGGGGTGGGGGGGAGCAGTTCCAAGCTCCGGTTTCTCATCTGCTAGGAAGATCATGGGAGGGTGAGCAATATTTTTCCAAGGTCACTGCAGTGTTTGTGTGGTTGAGACACAGAATTCCAGCATTCAGACTGCCACACACCCAAAGGTACGAGCAGCCATTAAAAGGTTAATCCCAAATCGAGCATAGCCAGGGACAAGACTGCCGTGGATTTCCGGAAGGATCAGGATTACAGTGCCAAACCCATGCCCGGCGAGACCACCAGTGGAAATTCCCACTGACTTGTTTTTGTGCAAGGCAATGTCTTTACTCATGTGTCCGCACTAATTGTCCAGCACTGAGCAAATTGTTGCCCGTCTGCAAGCTCCCGTTTCCACCCTTCCAGAAAACAAGCCGTTGAATGCCAAGCATTCATGGATTTAAAAATTAAGTCTAACAGCTAAGCGATTCACTTAGCTAATTTAATGGAAGCTTTGATTTTGATCTTGAATGTATTTTGGGTTTTTACGCCAGTTTTTGCAATTATCTAACTGATGATGTCAAAGCTTTTATATGGAGGAAAACCCTAAACAGGATTCTGTGATAATTTTGAAACTTTTCTGCTAGAGAACGGACTTTTTTCAGAACACCCCTTTTCCTGTAAACAGTTTAGCTTTGTCACTACAGTGTTTTTCAATAGGAAAACAGTTTTGTCAGGAAAATCTTGTCTAGGTGTAGAAATGACTTCTCAAAGCAATGTCAAAAAAGACACCAGGTACATCAGTCATGGGTCTAGGGAGTTTAAACTAAACCTTCTAGATGATCCAATTTGTGGATGTATTTGCCCAAATGTGGGGCATTTTTAAGGCTAGTTACCAACAAACCCCAGTGCTTATTTCCATTTTTCACTTAAACAATAACAACAGAGAGAAATATAAGGTAAAACAAGGCAGTTGCTGTGCCCAAATTGTCCTCAGGTCAGCACCGCAATCCCAACAAATTTGTGCACTGAAAATGTTTTTCACAAATGGACTTTGGTGCGTAGGTTCCCACGCAAGCAGCCCATCTCCATTTGTCCTGGTGCTATAAGGAGTCAGATGTGGCAGGCTCCAAAGCATTATCTCAGAAATCTTTCCCAGAAATCTACCTAGATTGTTCCCACAAAATAGATGGCAGCTTTTGCTCCTCAGTGTCACCTGCGGATGATTCGGATGGTCATAGCATAGGCAGCTGGGTACAAGCAATTTTAGTTCCTATGGTCCAGGCAGTGGGTGCTTTGTGGAAATAGAAAAGAAGCACAAAGAGGTGGGTGTGTTGTGATGCTGATGTCTGTTATTAATCCCCAGGAAATTCCATGCACTGAGAAACCATTATTTCAATAACAAAATTAAACTAGACAGCAGGAGTCGCAACCCAGTGCTTTATTGATCATTTTTATGATGGATACTATTGTGATTTCTGCCTGGGAGAAAATGGATGTTTCATTCAATAAAAAGGCTCAGAGCAATTCTGTCTCTGAAATCTTGGTGCATTTCTAGGCTACTCACATAATTTGTATTTTATGACACAGTTTCAAACTGTAGTAAACAAACAGCCATATTCTAGATCGTGCTGCAGTGGCTCAGACGTGCCAAACAGAGCACCAGAAGAAAAAAAAAAAAAAAAAAAAGCCATTCAATTTTGCTTGAAATTTTTCACAAAGCAATTGTTTTCTCAGTAAGAACCTGAAAACCACCATTTTCCAGCAGTACTCCGCAGTCTAGTTTCCAGAAAATACATGGATTTCTCAGGAACTTCTCAGATCTCTCTGCTGTGTGCTAGTGGGGACCCCAATGCTTTCAGCAGCTGTGACTGTGGTCAGAGGTCTATCCTGTGCCTTGAGATGGTGCTTTTTGAAGATGAGGGTGTTATAGGAAGGGAAGGGACGATACGGTGCTAAGCAGGTCTCCTCCAGCTCTGAGCGTGAACTGGAGTCATGCAAAGCTGCTGTAGCCTAATGCTGTTTGCCTGGTGTTTTGCTTCCCAAACTCTTTGAGATGTGTCCAAACTGGCTCTTCTGAGGCAATCCCCCTCCCTTAAAGGTCAGCTGAGAATGTTTTCTTTCTTCCTGAGGCTCCGAGTAGTTTACATTTCTTGTGAAGAGGGCTGCGATGAGGTTATGACACAACAGCTGCCCTGTGTTTTTGGCAGCAGCCGGGGCACCGAGAGGCTG